AAGTCCATGTTAAACTTAAAAAAAATATATTTTTTTTTTTAACCAAAACCGGCCCTAAACGCATCAAAAACGCGTCTAAAACGCGGCACAACCCACTACACTGCGTGTGCAGAAACCTGACCGGATCTGGTCTGCATTTGGTGTGAACAAGGCCTTAAGACAGACAATATTCAAATCTAGTTTACAACTGATAATGACATTTGCCAGAACAGTAAAGTCAGGGTTAATTATGTTAAACGTTAACTCACCAGCCACCTTGAATTACAGAGGAAAATTCAGTACATAATATGTAAGCGGCAGTTTACATTTTTTATGCTATGTAAATAATAACATGTAACAAATATAATATAGGTGTTATACCAATTAGGCTGCAATAGTGGAAATACACTTTAATTCATAAATGTTATTGCACTGTTGGATTTAACAAAGTTTCGTACACACATACGGCACAGTGCTTTATATGGCAGGGCAGCTCTTTAAACCTCTTCTTTCACTGCTTTAGAATGAAGGGTTAAAAGGTTTTGTATTGGAATATATGTGAAACTTGAGACTTCCAGGGCTATATATGGAACATCCCATACGAAAATCCAAACACACATGCTGCGCTCGTCACAGCAGTTGTTAGAAATTGACAGTAGGTGGCAGGATGTTGTTTCTCTTATATATGCATCGTGTTCTTAATTGAACTGTGACTTTGTCATTGGTAGAAATGCAGCTGAAGGCAATGTTTTATTAAAAAAATGATGGAAAAGCTCTAAGTAAGCCCTATTCTGAGACATACAATTTTACAGTGACTGGAAAACAAAACTATTAAAATTGTGCATTTAATTTACAAAAAGTGAAGCACACTTGTCTTTCCATAACCAGACTACTTCCCTACTACAAGAAATGTCCCTGACATGAAAGAGAACTAAAAGATAGGCAGGGCCGGGTTATTTTGCAGCAAGCTAATAATGACTCTTGTATTAGCAAAGAAATGTCCATATCTCAAACATTTTATACATCATACAGAGATTACTGCAATCATTGTACCTACTGAAAAGAAACCTGTGCCCATGCAGGGTAAACCAACCAATTTGCTTTAATACCTCACCATATAGTAGACCTGCAAGCTAATGACACTTGTATTAGTGGAGAAATGTCCGTACCTCAAGCCTTTTATACTTAACCGCCTATTTATCATACTTTTAAGATCACTGTGATCATTATATTTACTAAAAGGAAACCTTTGCTTTGACCAAGCAGGGTAAAGGGCCGCCCCACCGCATATTCCTGGATGACCAGCAGCACTGCCCCCTACCACCAGCAGAAGCACACACAGCCCGGGACGACCAGCAGCTACCTCCCTCTCATCCCCACCGGATGAGATGACCAGCAGCACCGCCCCCCCCCCCCCCTTCAACGGGCCCAGGCGGCGTGAAAGGTAGGGACGGCCCTGCTTTTGACTTGCATTTGACCTCCCTCTGACCTGCCTTTGAGTTGCTTCAAGTGAGTTTTGCATTTCCAATAGGCTTGTATGTGAATGCAAAACCCTCTTAAAGCAAACAAATGCCTGCTGACACAAGCTCTTAATGTGTTATTAATTAATAACCTGACAGTTGATGAGATCACCTTACCCAAATTCCATTATCTGACCTGCTTATCTATAGTCTGCAACAGCAACAAATTGTCAGTTAGGATATGCAGGAGATACAGAGGATTGCAGTTTGACTATCAAAAATTGTGTTTGTTTCACTCTGTGACTCATCTAAAAAATGAGACCATTTGACTAATTGCTGCTTAATACCGTCGCCGTGAGGCAGTTAATAAATTCCACCCATAAATGTGGCTTTTAGGTTTGCGGCGGAGAAGCATGACACTCTAGACTCGGTTAATAAGAACCTCTCCTACAGGAATACAATATTTTCAACAGCAATTGCTGGAAAGGAGCGACATTTGTGAGAAAAGCATTTTAAAACCCTTACCTAGGATTGAAAGTGCTGCCTAGGAGGAATAAATATGTCTTAAAATATTCATATTTTCATGACTTTTTATGAACTCATTAAGAATAAGAGGAATGTCTGCAATTTGTTCCTGTTGGCAAGTCAGATTTACTCTCTGTAAATGGAAGTGGAAAAATTGAAGTTCCTTTCTGTAATAAAAATCGGCACAAAAGCAAGATTTTACACCAGAAACATGCAGCAGCGACGCTTCCTTTTTGATGTGGGAGATTCATACATTAACAAGAGCTCCCCTTGTCCAAATGCTGTCCTATTAATTATTCATTATTTACTAAGACATGCCCTTGTTCATAAAATAGTAGCATAGCCTCATTTGTGATATGAAATCTGCTGTTTAAAGTGAAGCCATGGTAATAAGCTTTACAAGCTGCAGACAGTGAACTGCCTAATGGACGTCTAGAATCTTTCACCCCAAAGTCCAGATGAGTGGTCTTCATTGTACTCTAGCACTATGTGCTTAGAATAAATGGGATTACTAGTTTAAAGCTGAGCTAGGGGCAAATAGCTACAGTAAATACACCACTGATCTATAGATATACACTATATACACAGTCTATCCATCTATCTATCTATCTATCTATCTATCTATCTATCTATCTATCTATCTATCTATCTATCTATCTATCTACCTATCTTTGACTATTGCAACTCCCTCCTCATTGGCTTACCTCTACACAGGCTATCCTCCCTTCAGTCTATCATGAATGCAGCTTCTAGACTCATCCACCTGACCAACTGCTCAGTGTTTGCAACACTCCACTGCCGATCCCTGCACTGGATTCCACTCGCCCAAAGGATAAAATTCAAAATATTAACAACCACTTACAAAGCCATCTACAACTCTGCCATCCACAACTTTCATGTATTTCAAAGCTTGTCTCAAAATATCACCTTAGCCATCCCCTCAGCTCCTCCCAAGACCTCTGGCTTTCCAGCTCCCTTTTCAACTCCTCCCATACTCGCATCCAGGATCTTTCTAGTCTGTCCCATCCTCTGGAACTCTTTACCCCAACCTGTCCGTCTATCTCCCACTTTGACTGCCTTTAGGCATTCCCTAAAGACTCATCTCTTCAGGGAAGCCTATCCCACCTCAACCTAACCACTGAACCAGCACCTTTTCAAACAATTCATCCCCACACAGCTACCTCCTCGTGTAATTTGCAATAAATATTTACCTTACTGATATGTGATTTATTTTCCTATTGATTACTTACTGTGGAGACCTCTTCCTTTACAATGATATTAAAAGCTAAAGGTCTTAAGCAATTTTAAATGCAGTATTTCATTCTCATACGCTAATGCCATACATGATAGGGGTTTATATCTAAATCTAGCCATGTATTGTTAGAATTTCGTTTCAACGGTCCTTGGAAAATGCTCATCAGAACAGCATCACTGAGTGAACTAATTTCATTAGAAAGCCCTTAAAAAATGTATTTTTTGCTACTTGAGTAGAATCAGAGGCGTATTAAAACTGTTTATTTTGTGCTCAGCACATGTGCATTACAAATATGTACGATTTTTCCCGAACGAAATCACATTAACGGTTAGAATTTCACTTGTTCAGATAAGAAACAAGAGAATTCTTCATCCTGCTTCTTGGATTGTTCTCACTACAGCTGAAAACAAACATCGATTAGACCTCACTAACCATCACAAAATGTAACATTTTTCATGGAAGTTGTACTGGTGTTTGGCCAGCTTTACGCCTTATTGGAGCTTGGTGATGTAATAAGTATTTTTAATCTGATCTGCAAGGAAATGGGGACAGATTAAAGTGTCAGCTCTGTCAGATCACTATCAGGGTTATTCACAAAAGGGTCAAGAGTTTGGAGAAGGCAGGAGAAGTGAACAATCTAGGACAACATAGCTAATTTGGAAACATTCTCCAATTCAGCTCACTTTCCGGTTCAGCTATGTTGTCCTAGATTGTTCACTTCTCCTGCCTTCTCCAAACTCTTCACCATTTAGTGAATAACCCTGTATATGTTTCAGTTTAGATGTGATTCTGTTGTATGGATCCTGGAATTCCAAATCACAGTGTGTGGCATGGCGTGCCTTCCTACATTGTGCACCAGCTTATCTTGTTTATTATTATACCATTCAACTTCCTCTAATTTCTGTGTCGTTTATCTGGTTGAAAACCCCTGTTTAAAAAAAATGGATTCATTTCTACTTTAACAATGATTAAATAAATAACACTGCTCTGTCATAAAATGCATATTTTTAAAGTTTTGGATAGAGTAAGGGAGGGTCATAAGTCGTGTCAGCTTTTTTTGCCATTTGTGTCCCATTGGTGAGATTACCCTTCACTTCCTGTCGGATAGCCACAACAGGCAGTGAGAGGAAATCCCTCCAAAGAAAGGCAAACCAGGGTCATCAGAACTAGTGTCTGCATTGGACGAGTTCCCACTATGTTTTGGTGACCACTCAAAATTTATAAAAAATGTCCTTAATTTTCTGTGATAACGGTTACCAGGACCAGTGGCGTCACAGGGGAGGGGGGGAGGACCGAGACCGAGAGCCCGACAGTGTCAGGAGAGAGGAGGGAACCCGGTGGCATACCTCATCCCGCCGGGTGAACGTCCCCTCCTCTCTCTGCCGGTGTCCATCAGTAAGATGGCTGCCAGCAGGCGTCAATGAGATGACCGCACGTGCGCGATGACGTCATGGCGCATGCGAGTTGATGACATCGCGGCAGGGTGTCACCGGGTCGCCTCAGGACAAATAAGGATGGTGAATCTCCCTAACGGGGATGCGAGTGGCAATAAAAACAGGTGTTCTAATCCCTCTCCACTCTATTCAAAACTGTCTTCATTTGCACTTTAAATGACATCAACCTCTACCTGGGCTGTCATATTTTACTGATATCTTAGTGATATGGCTGAAGTCTGGGCCCCTGCCCTATACTGGAATATAATACCTGCTAGAAGTACAGATATGAAAAGAGGAATACTGTTTGCATAAAATAAATCTTCCTCTTCCTCTCTTTGCTTTCAGAGATTGTGTCACTCATATTGTGGCCGAGAACAACTCTGGGGCTGAAGTCGTGGAATGGCTGCAATCTAGGAAATTGAACAATGCCGTTAAATGTCAGATTGTTGACATCTCCTGGTTCACCGAGTGTATGGGAGCGGGATGTCCTATAAAGATAGAGAGCCGGCACCAACTCACGGTAAGCCTCCTCACTCACACTGACACTATCCTAATGTTTGTAAAACTTAAAGAAGAACTCCAGGCAATTTTTTAAATTCATCATTGCAATGGGGTTTGCCCAGCACTGCAAGGGTTAACTGTTCTTTTGGTCTAGGGAGGAAAATAACAAAGTTATACATATCTGATCCCCAGAGCCGGCTTGCTCTTAGATGAGTCCTTGCAGCCTCTCTCCTCCTCTGCTGCAGCGATCTAAGGTCCCTGAGTCATCACATTATATACACAGTGTATAGGATGTGAGGACAACAAGGGACATACCACAGAGGAGGAGACCGGTAGGAGGGAGCGCTGTCACAGCCAATCAGCTATGACAATGAAATAGCTTAAAAACATTTTGAATTTAATATCACTTTAAGAAGTAGGTTATTCTGACGATCGGAAGGCAATTGAAGAATCATAGTGGATCCAAGTGACCCACTTATCATAGAATTTATGATACTGGCCCTTACAAGGTGGCCACTCGGTGCTCTGGTTCATTAACATTGTTCACCTTACAGATCCAATCAGTCCTGGTGGGAACCCAAGTGTGCTTCCAGAACAAAGGGATCCCCCACTTGAGGCAGGGCACTATTCCTATAATGGCTGATGGGGGGGGCGTGAAAAAAGATATGTGTCTGGGCATGTGGTATGCCCACATCTAGAATTTGTTCAATGTGCGTTTTGATGTCACACCAAAAAGTCTGAAGTTTAGGACATTCCAGCAGTTATGTAGACTAGGTAGGGTTTTAATGAAAGCTGCAGATTTTGAAAAAAAAATGGCTATTGAAATGACATTAAAGCAGGGCTGGATAAATCCCAGGAGCCAGGTCGCCAGTGCTCAATAAATACAGCTGGTTCCTCACTTTTCAGGTTTTCTCTACTTGATGGAGCTGGCTCCTGCATTGAATAGACTGGCTCCTGAAGTCCATATTCATTTGGCCGCCCCAGACTTAAAGTGTATCTAAACCCAAGAGCAAATGGTTAATATACTGCAATACTTAGATGTGGTGGCTGCATTAGTTTTCCTTTTATAAGTCTAAGAACATTTTCTGCAAGTACAGATAAACACCTGCAGGATTTCAGACATACACAGATATACAGAACAATGAGAGCGATGAACAAGACAGAATGACGTCCAACAACATTTAATAATAGAATGAGTTCTCAAATGGCAGCAAAGAACAACCAACGTGTTTCAGGGGGTTGAACGACCTCACCCTGTATACATATGTATATCTTCAACCCTGGATTCCCTTGTATGTGGGACATCCCGTTTTTGTTAAGTGCAGCCTTACCAGACCCTTTGTGCTTTATTACATTTCGACTGATCCTCTTAATATATAAATCCAGCACTTCACCTGTACTTATGCCAGAATTTCAGTGCGCGTGTAGTTTCCTATGCACTGAAATACAAAACAATGCTATCAGCCTTCTCAGTTCTCTTCTGTGAACTACAGAACACTCTCCCCATATTATGGGAGAGGTGTTTGTAGGGTGACAACGCTGCTCCTCCGTACAGTAATGTCAGTAAGCGTTGCAACCTTGAACAGGAAGTGAGTTACTGGCCGAATCACCAGGTGAAAATGATGCTGAAAACTAATGCGCCACCACCTCTAAGGACTGTTGAGCTGCCATGTACAATATACAGTTCTTGGGTTTATAGACACTTTAACAAGTTAAAGCTTATTTGGGATTTTAGTGGCTGTGTTTTCACACATACTTGTAAGTATTTTTATTAATTTGAATATTGCAACCATCACTTCATTTAAGCCGACAAAGTAGAAGCAACACAGCAGATGGAGCCTCGCTGTCAGGCTTAAAACAATTGCGAGCCAGAAAATGTGTTTTCTCTCTCAGCAACAAGAAGCTGTGTGCCACGCTCACGTAAAGACCTGCTGCTGAAGACAGAGTATAAATATGTGCATGCAAATCAGGAACACGACCAAAACGACTATTGTCATCGCGTGCGTCTCTTCAATGGGCATCTGCTGTGTGGGAAGGCTGGAATATCGCTTTCCTGACAATCACTGACACTTATTATTATTGCTTACAACGTTGGCTTGCTGCAGGTTTCATGGTCGTTACGGTTGTTCCGTCTCAAGCTGTCCTTTATGGAAGTTAGGAAACTTTATACAAACTGAGAGAGCGAACGTTTCGTAGCGCAGGATATGCAATGCAAATGAGCACTTGGTCCTTATTTCCCCACAACAGCCGGTCTTATAAAAATGGTAATAAGGTCAGCGGTCTCATGCAGGGTTGGCACACGCCTAATGATGATGTTATTTTTTTTAAACTTTAGAACATAACTACTTGTCCTGAGGTGCTTCCATCAAACTTTCAACTCGTTAAAAATGTGTATAAGTTTACATAAAATAAACTGTTTGCCCACTTGTAGGCGGCAATAGATATTTAAAGAGCAGCAAAAGCTATTTATTAAATAGGTACATTTTACAGGGGTTTTATTTTATTTATTTCATGTATTTATATAGCCGACATTTTACACAGTGCTTTTACACCAGTCCCTGTCCTCTAAGGTACCTATATCACATACATACAGGGCCACTTTAGACAGGAGCCAATTTACCTTCCAGCATGTCTTTTGGAGTGTGGGAAGAAAATTGAGTACCTGAGGAAACCCACACAAGCACAGGGAGAACATACAAACTCCTTGCAGATAGTGACCTGGCTGGGATTCAAACCGGGGACCCCTAGTGCTGCAAGGCAGAAGTGCTAACCACTATGCCGCTGTGCTGTACTGTGCTGTACATGTTTTGTAAATATTTAGTGAAATGTCTAAAAATATAAAAACATTTTATGGAGTCTTTTGTCCAGCCGGTTGAATGGTGCAGGCCATCAAACTGAGGATATCTAGTGGCATACAGAGGGTATTGTGGGGAAAACCCTCTGGATTGAAGCTGGATATTGGTAGGTTTTTTTTTATTTTTTTATAGGCCCATGAGGGAAATTTGTCTTCATTTACTGTCTGAAAGATCCAACAGGAATCAAGTTGAAATCTCTCCGAAATTCAGAGAAATTTGTTATTGATAAATATGACCTGAACAGGAATATTTCTTCTCACCTCCTGTTCTGGTGGCAGCTGTTTAATTTACATTTCCCATTACTTTCAGGTTTGGTAACAATAGTCATCAGGACAAAAGGATAGGGTAATTCTGCCCAGTGTAGAAACTGGCAGCAATGTAAACCTGATAGGATTTCCAAAACTGTGCCACTTCATCCAAAACTATTGAGCTTTAGATTTTCTTTAACAGCGTAAGGATTTTACATATTAAACTGGAATCCTTAAAGAAGAACTCCAGGAAAAGGTATTCTTATCCTTTGCAGTGGTGCTACACCTGCTCTGCAAGGGTTAACTGCTTGGTCTACGTGCAAAAATAACAAAGTTATACTCACCTGAAAGTCGCAGCGCTCCCTCCAGCCTGTCTGCTCCTCTACTGTAGCAATGGTATGTTCCTCAGCATCCTCACATCCTGTACACAGTGTATTGAATGTAATGACTCAGGGACCTTGGACGTCTGAAGCGGAGGGCGAGCGAGGCTGGAAGGATCGGGCTAAGATCAAGCTGGCTCCGAGAATTGGGTGAGTATAGCTTTTTTATATTAGCACCTAGATGAAAACGAGCACTTGACCCATGCAGTGCGGGGGGTAACACCACTGCAAGGGTTAAAAAAAATTGTGTGGCGTTCTTCTTTAATATTTATCCCAGGCTGTTTTAACAAAGACTTAAAGAGACCGTGTCATGTACTAAATACTTTCATTAAAGGACAAACCTGTAAAGATTAGGTTGAATATTTACCTCTCCTTGGTCCCCCCACAGCTCACCCTCTGACTTTACATCACTGCAGCAAAGAGGGAACTACGGAGATTCACACTCCCGGCAGCGTTGGTTTCACAGTGGATTTTGTTGGACCATCTCTTTGCGACGGAGTGGTATTAAACAGCTCGGGCAACAGGAGAGCTATGTTGAAAGCATTTTTAGTACATGACAGGGTCCCTTTAAACCCAAGCTTGACACACTTGGAATCTGATTCCACATGGTTTTAGTTTTGGGGTCACCAATTAATCCATTATAATACAGATTTTTTTTCGTGTTAGAAATTTAGTGTGGATTAACATCGAGTTTGAATTGAAATTGACTCTAGCAGTATATGAATCCCATTGCCAAACGATCTCTTCATATGATGGAGCCGGATTGTAAGTGATTTGCTATTGGCATTTTAATAGGGAATGATTTCCTTAACAGGCTATAAATTCGGGTGCAATGATGATAAATCTTATCAGTCAGAATATGTCATCGCTGGTATAATTATCCCTCTGTATTTTACTCCAATATATGATAGATGTGCACCTCTCTTGTAATTAACATATGAAGTGTGTGCGCTATACCAGCCACTGGAAAGGGCATTTGCGAATTTTGTTTTCGACTTTCAGCCCTCAGCCAGGAACTTCTGTCTATAAATTCCTGGCTGATTTTTAATCTTGAGAGGTCGCAGCTCCAGAGCACATTATGGAAAAGGTTCGGCGGTTCTATTTCATTTCTATGATCTGTTCATCAAAGCAATGTTTTCCAATCCTCCTGCAGTCTTTTCTTATTTCTTCAACATTTTTCTGAAGCTAAAGGGATTGCTTTGCTTTTTAATCCTAAGTGTGTTCGTGCAGGTGGCAATTGTCCTGCTGTGTCCTAACAAAGTACAAGGAAATATATACAAATTTATGGCTTGCGCCTTTTTTCTTGGTAAGTTTGATTAAAAGTCAAAGTAAAGTAAAACTTTAGGCTGGGGGAATTGTGAACACATTACAGTGTGCATGATCTCAATCTTTTTATCAACGTTTGTGCTAAGAATAGTCTATATTGGTTCCATAACTACAAGCAGGTTATTCTGATGCTGGGATCTTGGCGTTATTTACTCCTAGAACAGGAGTGAGTTTGCTTAAGTATAGGGCTGGGTTACTGTTGGGGCTCAG